TTTTGCTCTTAGAACATTTTGAGGTTCTAAAGGCATGTCGTGGTAGGCCTATAGGAATGCCGGGACGGTCGGTCCCTGCTCAAAGATCAGAGGAGGAAAAGGTACACACATACCGCTACCCTCTACCTGTTTTCCCATTGTCGGGCCTCCTGGGAGTCCCTCGTCGCCACCGCCAGAGTCGCCTCGAAGTTCTTGTCCGCACGCACTCCGGGAGAGGTCTGGGGAGCGGCGGTATCGGTGCCCTTTGGTCTCCCCTGTGTATACCCGCCCGGCTTCAGTAAGAAGCCACGTGCCGTCCGAAGAAGCCACGTGCCACGGCTGCGAAGGATCCCTCAGGAGCGGCGGTATCGGTGCCCTTTGGTCTCCCCTGTGTATACCCGCCCGGCTTCAGTAAGAAGCCACGTGCCCTCCGAAGAAGCCACGTGCCACGGCTGCGAAGGATCCCTCCAGAGCGCCTGGGACCTCCTGAGAAGCCGCGCGCCCCCTCAGAGGCCTCCCCGCAGGCCCGCCCGCTTGCGCAGCTCCTTCGCGCGGGGTGGGCTTCTGAGACGTAGACTTATGTCGGGCCTGTCCCCCTACAGGGGGATTGTCGACGAAAAATGAAAATTCTCAAAAATACCCCAAGAAGGTCAAGACATACTAAAAAAATAGTCCCCAGACTATTTGTGGAATATTTTTAGATTATTTTTTGGGTATTTTTTTTTCCGTCGAAAATCCCCCTGTAGGGGGACAGGCCGACTTAAACCTAGACCCACGCGTGGTGAAAGATCCACGACGGACGGTTCCTCGCCACTTTCCGCCTCCAGGGGCCCTTACTGGACCTCGGGACCGTCCAACACACGACCCGGGACGAACCACCAGTCCTGGGGAAGGGCTCCAGACTCCTGAGATCTTGGCGTCTCAGTTTTTCCACAACGGGCGTTTGCGCCTGGTTTCGGGCCCAGGGACCCTCACAGATCGATCCGGATCGAAAAATGGCGCAAGATGGGGTCTGGGTCCCGGTCGTGCATTTCTATAATGTTGTAAGTTTTCCCAGCCCTCCGTTGTTGGGTTTTCGTTTTGAATTAGAGCACTGCTCGCGCGTCTTCTCCTCCTCCCGCCTTCCTCCTCATGCCTGCTGTTGTCGCCGTCCTCCCGTCTGCCTCCCCCTCTTTCCTCTTCTCCTCTTCTCTCATTCCTGCTACCTGGCTTGCTCCTGCCTGCTAGGTTGCCTCTTACCTCGAGGTCCTTTCTTGTGGGGCTGCGATGTGTGAAGCTGTCGCCACTTTTGAGGGCTGCTGGGGGGTCCAGCGGAGTGAGGCCCCACACAGACCTAAATTAGACATCGCCATTCCTGGGGCCCTGGGGAGCTGCGATCTGCGAAATTGCTGTCGCCACTTTCGAGGGCTGCTAGGGGGTCCAGCGGAATGAGGCCCCACACAGACCTAAATTAGACATCGCCATTCCTGGGGCCCTGGGGAGCTGCGATCTGCGAAATTGCTGTCGCCACTTTCGAGGGCTGCTAGGGGGTCCAGCGGAATGAGGCCCCATGCAGACCTGAAGTAGACCTCGCGATCATCCCTGGCTGCGATCTGCGAAACCGTCGCCGCTTTCGAGGCTGCTGGGGAGGCCAGCATAGTGAGGCCCCTACCCAGATTCAGATTAGACCTCGCCATCCCTGGGGGAGCTGCGATTCGCGACACCGTCGCCACTTTCGAGGGCTGCTTGGGGGGGCCAGCATAGTGGGGCCCTACCCAGATTCAGATTAAACCTCGCCATTCCTAGGGGGCTGCGATGTGCGAAACTGCCGCCTCTTTCGAGGGCTGCTGGGGTGCCAGCATCGAGTGCTGCTGGGGGGGGGGGCAGCATAATAGGGCCCCACCCAGATTCAGACCAGACCTCGCCATCCCTTGGGGGCTGCGATCTGCGAAACCGTCGCCTCTCTCGAGGGCGGCATCGAGGGCTGCTGGGGCGGGAGGCAGCGTAATGGGGCCCTACCCAGATTCAGAATAGACCTCGCCATCCCTGGGGGGCTGCGATCTGCGAAGCCGTCGTCACTTTCGAGGGCTGCTGGGGGGTTCAGCGGAGTGAGGCCCCACGCAGACCTAAATCAGACCTCGCCATCCATAGGGGGCTGCGATCTGCGAACCTGCTGTCGCCACTTTCGAGGGCTGCTGGGGGGGGGCAGCATAGGTAGGGCCCCCTACCCCTACCCCAGGGTCAGATTAGACCTCGCCATCCCTGAGGGGCTGCGATCTGCGAAACTGTCGCCACTGATAGTAACTAATTGCTGGTATACATCGAAACATCGTCTCTCTCCTTTTTCTGACCTTCTTTTGCAGTCACTCTCGTGCTGCTGCCATGTCCTCTTGCTGCTGCCCCGCTAACGTTTCAAGCTCCCTGCCCGCCATCTCCTCTTAGTCCTGGCCCCTCTTCCCCCTCGGCCCAGGGAATGACATGCTCACCTCCAAGCCCTTGTCCGTTGATCGGCATCCTGCGAATCGCGCATCGTGCGAGCCTCCCAAATACTGTTCGCAGAAACTGTACCTCCTTGCCACGGTATCACCCTCTTATAACGTCTACCTATCTATTCTGGCCATGCGTGTCGCAAGGGTTGGGTCAGGACGTCAGATGTCAGGGAAGAGTGGCCCTTCGCTGGAGTGGCCTGGTGGCGGGTGCCCCCGTCATATGCCTCCTAGGTGGGGTCCCACTGGATGGGGTAGGAGGATCGCGCCGCATCGCCGATGCATCGGCGCTGCGGCTCGATGAGGAGCCAGATGTTCTCCGCGCTGGCACTGTCCGACGCACCGCCAATGCATCGCCGATGCGTCGACGATGCGTCGTCGACGCGTCGTCGATGCATCGGCGATTTGGCGCGATCCTCCGACCCCATCGGCTCCGACGCCACCTGGCCCCGCCACTGGCCTGCGCGCTAGGATCTCGGGCGCCCCCGCAGCCCTGGATCGGGCCGCGCACCCGAGGGAGGCCACCCCCTGCCCGGGGGGGGGGGCACGCTCTGCGCGTTCGCGGGGGCTGCGGCCGAGAGGGCGGCGCCATCCTGAGGCGCGTGACGGTCACCGGGCGCGTTCCACTACTCGCAAAGTGCCCAGTCGCAAGCGCCTGAAAAACACATGCCTGCTTCGATGTAATCGATCGTAGATCCCCCGCGGCGGATCCAGGCGATTTGCGAGTAGCTACTTTGCGAGTAGTGTCACGCGCTCGTCTAGACTCTGGAATACCCATCCGTTGTGAAAAGTAGGTGTTTTTGGATTCCCAGATCCCGATCTATTTTGAGCGCCTTCCTGCTTCAAGGATCGAGTGGCTTCCCCTTTTCCGTCCTCCTCAGGGGGCGGGCGGAACCCAATGTATTTTCAACGCCTTCCTACTTCATGCTTCTACCTACTTCTTCCGACCGTTGGGTAACGCTCGTTACCCAGCGGCCCAAGACTCCAGAATCATTGGAGCGGCCGGTGTTGGGCCATTTCTGGTCCCGGGGGGCCAGCCCCGGGCTGCGGGGCCGTGAAGAAAACGACTCAGGACGAGAGGCCCGTCCTAGTCGGGGAAGTCGTCCAGACCCTCGAGGATCCACTCGTCGAGAAATTTGGAACGCTGGATGTCTGGGTGCCCAGGCCACCCCCACTCGGGTAACGGGAGCGATCGTGATCGTACGAGGGGGGGAGGGCTTTGACCCCCCCCCCACCTGCTGGTGCTCGCGCGCACACTGGCGATTCCAGCACTTTTTTGCGCTTCCTGGGCCTCCTCCTGGGGGATTCTCGTCGCCACGGCCAGGTCGGGCTCGCGAAACAGGTCAGCAATGGGCCCCAGAGATCCGCCGTCTTGCGTTCTTCAATTCGGAGTCCCCGGCAGCCCCGAGCCTCGTCTCAGGACCGGTTTCTGACGGTCCCGAGGCCAGCGAGGGACCCAGGCCCGTGAGAGTCTCCCGCCTCGATTTTTCCATGGGTTGGATGCTGGGGATCTTGGCAGGTGTCCCGGGATCCGAGTCTGAGCGGGTTTGGGCTGTGCGGGAGTCGGGGGGGACGCATCGATCCGCACTCGCCCATAGATCGCTGGTAGGGTCCCCCACCCCGCCTAGGAGCGTCCGGATTCGCCATCGGGGGCCCATCGTCGACGTATGGGCGAGTCATCGCCGATTTTGGCTCGGTGCCCCTCCCACTCTTCCTCCTTGTGGCGGTCCCCCCTCACCCCAGACATCCGACGCTCCAGTTTTTTCGATGCGTGGGGCCTTGGGGTCTGGGCGACTTCCTGACTGGGACTGGCCTTTCCTCCTGAGTCGTCTTCTCATGGTTCTGGGGGCGGTGGAGGGCCCTCGGGAGCTGAACGTGGCCCCAAACTGGTCGCTCCAATCCCGAGCTGCTCTGCACGCAATTACTCGGAGACGCCGGTTTCACTTGCACAGCCTGCTCCAATCGCAGCTGCCGACCCTCTCCTTGACAGACACCACCACAAAGTCGAGCATCCAGAAGGACGCGTGGGCAAGAAGAGCGCGCAGTTGGCACATCTTCAGGACATGCAAGGAAAACGCTGCAAATCGATTGCGCGTGCACGGACAATTCGACTGGAGAGAGAAGGGCGAGGAATAGGGGGAATGGCAAATATAGATGCTGCTCGTGCTTCTAGGCCTCCCAGAGGGGGTCGGAGTAGATGGGGTCGTAGGATCGCGCCGCAGCGCCGATGCAACGCCGATGCGGCTCGATGCGGAGCCCGATTTGCTTCGCGCCGACGTCGCCGATGCACCGCCGACGTCGACGATGCATCGCTGGTGCATCGCCGGTGCATCGCCGGTGCATCGCCGATGCATCGCCGATGCATCGCCGACGTATCGGCGATGCGGCGCGATCCTCCGACCCCATCTGCTCCATCCAGGAGGCCCCCTTCGTGCTCGCCGCACAGAGCCAACGCCAAACTGGCCGCCCCCGTCTCTTCGGAGCCTCGGGCCTCGGGCCACGGTCGCCCCGATCGCGGAGCGCCGCCGCTGTCCTGGCTGGGCCCCCCCCTCCGAGCACCCCGCCCTCGCGGCCGCTGGTCGCCCGCGCAGCCTCCGCCCGCGGGCGGGCAGCGCGGCTTCTGCGCCAGCGGGGAGACGAAGAAGGTCCGTGTGCGGGTCTCAAAAGAGGCGGGGGTCAATGCACACGGGGGTCAGCCAGAGCGCCGGATTCTGCAGGGTCCTGCCAGGCCAGGGGTGCACTGACAGGGCTTGGGTGCAGGACCCCGCAGGATCCTGCAGGGCCTGACTGACCCGGGTCTGGATTGGCCCGGGTTCGAAGATCCCCGAGTCCGTGTCTTTTACCGATCTTTGTCTCTACTTTTTCGGTAGCAAATCATGGGAGCCTGGTGTGCCCTCATAATTCCTCAGCGTCGGCTAGCGTCGATGAGCGTCTGGAAGTCGAAGAGAGGTAGCGCCGATTTAACGTAGGCTAGCGTCGATTAACGTCGATTTAGCCTCGATCAGCGTCGATTTAGCGTCGATTTGCAAGAGCCGACAAGATGGTATGGGAGGCTCTCATGAGTTTTCATCGAACTGTCCCCATCCCCGTCCTCAGACATGCTCGCGTCGTGGAACAATCAGGACAGGAGTTTTTCGCTACTCTCGGCCTCTCGCGGCCCTCACTGGGCCAACGGAGCAGCAAAAAACGACTCGGGATGACAAACGGGTCCCAGGGAAGGGGTCATGACTTCTGGGGGCCCCGTGCTAAACAAATCAAGACGTCGCGACTCTGGGTCCCCATCATCCCGATCCCCACCATTCCACCACCCCAGTTGGGGATATGCTCCTCGAGACCCGAAGGGAACAGCCTAACTATATCCCCATGCAGGGGGGGTAGTCTGCAGATGCGATGTATCCACCACCACCGTGTCTGGCCAGGGCCACCCTGGGCTCCACGATGGTGTATAGACCCTTCTGGCCTCGGCCTCTAGGCGTAAACAACCATGCCAGGTCCCAGGATGGCCTTGGCCAGGAAGGGTGGTGGTGGTGTAGAGGTGCCTTCTTCTGCGCAGTTCAAAAATCGGCCAGAGAGGCCCAGGCCGCGCCAGTGGGCACAGCGGTCGGTTCAGCGATGCTCCGAAGGAGAGGCGGCCCCTCCGCCCGAAGGAGGAGCTTCTCAAGGACACCAAGCACCTGGAGCCGGCTGGGGAACCGAGGTCCCTGAGGTCCTGGCGCTGCGATGTTTCAGTCCCGCCGGGCGTTGTCGCCCAGTTTCGCTCCCATGTGTCGGCGCACCCCTCACACGGGTCTTAGCCTCGAAGCGAGCTCCACCGCGGGCTCCAGCTGGCGGCCCCGCACCCGAATTTCGGCACACACCCCTTGGACGTTCCGCGGCCTCACTGATGGAGCTCCACCGAAGGCCCCAGCGGCAGGGTCCGCATGGCGGTCCCGCACCCAGAGTTCGGCACGCCTCTGGCCCATGGGGGCCCCCATAGATCGATGTGGCTGGGAGAGTGGCGCAGAGAGACGGGGTCCTGGGCTCTGGTCGTGATTTTTCACGGTGCTGCAGTTGTTTGCAACGCCGGATCTCTCAGGGACGGTCCAGCACTGCGTCTTTGGTCAGCAGGCAGGGGGCAGAAGGGACCCCCTCGTGGCAACGGCTGGAGCGCGGCTCGAAAAGGCGGTCAGTTTCGACCCTCGGAGGGGTGGCGGATCGCTCTTGAGCGAATTTGCCCTCATCCGCCGCTTCTTGACAGATTTTCCCTGGGCTCATCAGCTCAGACCCCCCAGCTGCCTCCAAGCAAGCACCACGACGTACCTGTCCGTCGGCGGGCGGTGAAGGATCTCGGGAAGTACCCTGGCGATGAGGAGGCCATTCAGGCGATTGCCGTGGGCCTCGGAGACGAGGACGTGGCGGTGCAGCTGTCAGCGCAGGCTGCCATGGCCAAGGTGGCGGACATCGGCACTGATCTGACAGTGCGAGTCACTCTGGAGCGCGTGACCAGCAAGTGCGAGTGGACGCGCATAGCTGCCCTGAGCACGCTGGCGGACATCACGGGAAAGTTCGGGCACGAGACGCGCGGCACTCCGCTGGACCTAGAGGTGGACAAGGCCGTGCTAGCCCACCTTGACGACGAGGATTGGGGAGTGCGCCGTGCGGCCATGGACACCCTGGCTGCCAGGGCGGCGCCGGAGTGTCCAGTGGCCATAGGCGCGGCCCGCAGGTTGCTGGAGGACCAGATGGGCACAGTGCGCGAGTCGGCAATCAAAGCGATCTCCACGCTGGTGCCCACCGGAAGCCGCGAAGCAATCGACTGGATAGCTCCGCGGCTGGACGACTGGCACGAATCGGTCAGGCGGGCCGCGGTGGTCGCGGTGGCAAAAATCGCCGAGAAGGGCGACCAGCACGCGATCGAGCTGGAGAAGTGCTCGTGTGACGACCGGTCCTGGATCGTGCGCAAGGCCGCCACAGACTCCTTGGCGATCACGGGCACCTTCAACGACCTGCCCTCGCTGCGAAAGCTCGCGACGATGCTGGAGGACTTTGACCCGCTGCCCCGCATGGCCGCCATCTACGGCATCGCGGAGATGTGCGGCGTGGGCCACAGGAAGGCCATACGCCTCGCCGAGGAGCGCATGGAGCACCGGGATCCGGGCACCCGGCAGGCGTGCGTGCAGCTGCTGGAGAAGATCGCGACCAACGACATGGAGGGCGTCATGAAGAAGGTCGCGGATCGCATGGACGACGAGGACGAGCACGTGCGCGACTCCGCGTACTACGCGCTGGAGGCCATCAAGAAGGCCCCGCCAGGCAGGCGCAAGTGGAAGTCCGACCTCCCCGACCTCAGCGACCTCGACCGCCTCGGCTTCGACTCGTCCGACGACGAGGAGGAGGACGGCAAGGACCACTGGTGACGCCCGCTCGGGGGCCGCAGCGCGGGCACGCTCCGAGGGCCGGCCGTGGCGACGAGCAGCCCCCTAGGAGGCCCAACATGTCCAGGACCTCGAGCCTCCATCCTCGAACGCCGACCCTCGTTCCTGCCCCCCCTCCGCCCTGCCCTCTGCTCCCTCCCTTTCCCCCCCCCCCGTCCTCCTCTTCCTCCTGCTCGACCTTCCTCCTCCTCCTTCTCCTCCTCCTCCTTCTCCCCCCCTCCTTCCTCCCCCCCGCTCCCCCTCCCTCCCCCCCTCTCTTTTCCCCTCGTTTCCCCGACTCAGACGCCGACGCCGACGACGACGACGACGACGACGACGCCCAAGATGACGACGACTGCGACGACGACGACGACGACGACGACGACGACGACGACGACGACGACGACGACGACGACGACGACGCCCTGGGCGCGGTGGAGGTCGCATGGGCTGCGAGTGCTGCGTCGCTCGGCGCCGCCGTGCGCGCCGGCACGGCCAGGGGCGCGGGGGGCCTGGAGGAGCCCGCCGGTCGGGCGCTGCCAGGCGTGTCCTTGGTCCGGGGCTGGGGCCTTACCTTCCCGGTCTTACTCCTCCCTCTGCCTGGCTCGTTCCCTCCCTCCCTCCCTCCCTCCCCCCTCCTCCTCCTCCTCCCTCCTCCCTCTCCCTCCTTCTCTCCCTCCTCCCTCCTCCCTCCCCTCCCTCCTCCTTCCTCCCTCCTCCCCTCCTCGCTCCTCCCTTCTCCCTCCTCCCTCCTCCCTTCTCCTCACTCCTCCCTCCTCGCTCCTCCTCCTCCTCCTCCTTCTCCTCCTCCTCCTCCTCCTCCTCCCCTCCTTCTCCTCCTCCTCCTCCTCCTCCCCCGCCTTCTCCTCCCCCCGCCTCCTCCTCCCCCCTCCTCCTCGTTGTCGTCCTCTTCCTCGTCTTCATCGTCGTCGTCGTCGTCCTCCTCCTCCTCCTCCTTCCCCTCCTCCTCCTTCTTTCGATCAGACATGAAGAACGGTGCTTGTTGCGTCCAGGGGAAAACAGTGCGAGGCCTCGAGGAATAATATGAACGCTGACTTAGGCCATGCCGAACAAATGCAGGAAGCCGCCAGTGCGGATGAGGAAATGCAAGAAGATGCGGGAAAACATGTGTGGCCGTCGGAGGCGAAGAGTAAATGAGCGAACTGCCGCTGGGAGGGAGATAATAGCAAGGCACACAACACGTAGACCACAAGAGGGAGACATTTGGAACCGATTTACGTGTGCAAATACAGCAGTTCTAGCAGACTGCGTTTGGTGTCCCTCGTCCCCCATCTGCTCCGAACCCCCTCACGTTGACGCCAAAGTTTGTCAAGGGTAGCATTCGCCAGGGTGATGAGCTGTAAGAACAACAGAGCAATCGACGGCGGAGAAGACTATACCACTGGGTGTGCTGATGTTCGGAGTCCATAGCGGGAGAAACCATGAGGCTTTTTCCCTACCGACGTGCCAACCTGGCAGTAAGCAGCAACAGCAGCAGACCTGGACATGGCAAGTGCTGCCAGAAGGCGAGGGCGTTGAAAGTGTGGCTTCTTGGGTGGTGCAGGGTCTCTGAGCAGGGAGGGCCTGCACAAAGAGACCCAAAGTGGGGTGCCTCCGAGTACGTTCTCCCTTTCCAGAGTCACGCCCCAAGTGAAGACCCCCGACCGACCCATCCCATAAAGTCTGGAGATCCAGCATCTCGCGTGCCAGCTGTGGCTGAGGTGGCCTAGGCCTCGTGGTACACGGCGCTGCGAGGCTTGCCGGTTTGAAGTTGGCTGGCCTGTGAAGTTATATGTTCTATTGCTGGTATATGCTGTGACTGGCTCAGGCAGTGCTGGCTGGCCAAGTTGTCTACAACAGATGGTACGTGTTGGTACGGGGCTGATGAGACTATGCTACTGGCTGGCTCAGGCAGTGCTGGCTGGCCAATGTTTGTAGAAAGCTGACGCGTGTTAGTGCACAGTGTGAAGGCATAGTGGCCGAGTATACTTTTGCATCTTACTGCCGTGAGGCTGGCACAGATGGTGCTGGCTGGCTTGGGGTCCTGAAGTTGACTGTCTCGCCTGGTACAGAGTAGTGACGGTGGCAGCGTCTGGCAGCTGAAAGGCGTTGGGGCCCCTCCCTGTAGTCCAAGGGTGTCCGATATAATGCTGTGTTCACCTCATCCCCCCCCAGCATGCACCCAACCTCCGTCCTACCCGTTGGTGTAACTTGCAAACCCAGGAGCAGGTGATATGTTCAAAGTGGCAAATGTGATGGTGAGCACTGTGAGGCTTGTCACATTAAAATTGGCTGGCCTGTGTCGGCTCCGCCTGCTCTGATGTGCAAGGCTTTTGACTCGTGTCGGCATGTGTCAGAGACGTGCCAAGAGACGTAGCACAATATACATACCATATACATGCTGCAACTCTCGGGCTGCTACCCAGGGTTCTGTCGATTCACCCTGACCTCCTCTGTACCGTGCCCCTCGTGCTTTTTGTAGACGTCTTCACGGGTTTAGCACGAACCTTTTTGTGCAGTCGACAGGTGAGAGGTTAGGAACACACTGCATAGAGGCATATGCATAGTCAACCACGCTGACACTGTAGATCGTGGGGCGGAATGGCGAGGCCGACTAGCTCTAAAGCAGAATCGGCGATGTCAAATGTTGCCTGAACCTCAGTCCCCACGACCACCTCCCAGCCCCCGTATGTGACCTGTTAGAACTTCCTGAACGTCAAGTCTGCATGCCAGGCTGGCACATGTCTTGCTGGCAGGCCTGCGGTATGATAGTATGGACAGACACAGGTGGAGATGTGTATTGCACAGTCTGTGAGTTGGGGAAGAGGAGGCAAGTCAGAAATTGATGCCCATGTAGAACATGACGCGCAATCGGTAGTTTACCCCCCAGTATCGTCCATATTGTGCTTGGGTTGGCAGCCTTGGCTTCGGCGCTGGTGGTGCTTTGTATTCAGCTGCTGTAATGCTTGACTTTGGCATTGGTGGAGCTGCGCCCTAGTGATCTCTTCGTGTTGCTTGTTATCCTGTTGTCGTAGGTTGCGTTCAGCTACCTTTTTCTAGATATTGTTGGTAGTGCTGCTGATGGTCATGATTTGTGTCCAAGTTGTCCAGTAGGCACGGGTCGTTTTCGTTGCCTCCTCCTCCTCTTTCTCCTCCTCCTCCTCCTTCTCCTCCCTCCCTCCTCCGCCCTCCTCCCTCCTCCTCCTCCTCCCTCTTCGTCCCTCTTCTTCCTTCTGCTGCTGCTGCTGATCCTCCTCCTTCTCTTCCTCCTCCTCCTCTCCTCCTCCTCCTCCTCCTCCTCCTCCTCCTCCTCTACCTCCTCTTCCTCCTGCTGCTGCTGCTGCTGCTCTCGCTTCCTCGATCAGTGTCGTGAAGGCCCCCCATAAGCCAGATCACAGCAATCCTTCCCAGCTTTTCCTGTTCCTGCCGCGCGGGCCAGTTCTTCCTCTCCTGAAGAGGCTCCGCCTTCTGCCCTTCTGCTGGGCTGGCCGGGCCTGGCAGATGCCGCTAGTGATCACCAGACCTGCCTGGCCGTTTCCGGCCCGATCTGGCCAACAACTGCATCACTGAAGGAGCTGGTTGCTTCGTACAGTCAACCTGCATAGTAAGGATGGGCAACCTTCCCAAGGGTAGCCTTGCATCCTTGCCTCCTCGGTCCACCCTTTGCCGCTTTCGTTGGCCACGCCCCTCTCGAAGAAGCTTCGGCATGGACTTCCTAGGCCCTTGCATCGCTGCACAATCCCTCGCCGTCTAGTCTTTACCCGCCTCTGCGAGGCAAGGAGCTCCGAGCTTTAAAACCTTGGGCCGTTGCCAACGATCCGCAATCTCTACAACACGACAACCCTCGGGCTGGAGGTCGTGCGAAGGGGCGAACACTCTGGGACGGCCAGGGCTAGGGGGTACATCCAGGCGACTTGGTCCTTTTCGGAACTTGGAGACTTTCGAAACATCCTGCAGCCATGAGAGTCAGCACTGAAACATGTTTTTTGTCTGCGCCGATGGATGAGACGCCTTCCTGCCTTCTGCTCGCCTGATCCTCGCGACGCGCTCCCATACAGCACCGTGTACTGCGTTACGATGTGCATGCCAACATGCAGCAGCAACTTCTGAACCTTCCAAGTGTCCTAATCGGCATACCAAATTGTTTGCTGGACAGCCACAGAGAGTTGCGCCGTGCCCGCCATGAGTGCCATTCGAGGCGTATGCGAGCGAGGTCGCGTCGCTCAGCTTTGGGAGTTTGCGCTATCTCCTTCTCCCCCCCCCTCTCTCGCGCTTGCTCTTCCCCTCCCCCCCTCCTCCCGCCTCCTTTCTTGCTGTGCGCGGGTACTGTAGCATGGCAATTCTGGCTCCAGATGACTCCTTGCATATCGACTTTATGTTTTGCGGCTGAACAGGCCCTGGGTTACACGAGCCTCGACTGGACTTTGAAGGCCGAGGGCGGATGCACTGCAGCATTCCGTGTGTGTCCTTTCTCCCATTCGCTCTCTTCCTGCTCTCCCTTCGCTCTCCTCCTCCTCCTCCTCCTTCTCCTCCTCTCCGCTCCCTCCTCTCCACTCCCTCCTCCACTTCCTTTTCCTCCTCCTCCTCATCCCTCTTCTCTCCTCCCTCCCTCCTCCTCCCTCCTCCCTCCTCTCTCCTTCGTCATCGTCCCTTGTCTTCCTCTTCCTCCTCCTGCTGCTCCTCCTCCTCCTTCCCCTCCTCGTCTTCCTCCTCCCCCTTCGCCTCCTCCTCCTCCTCCTCCTCTTCCTGCTCTTACTCCTCCTCGTCCTCCTCCTCCTCCTCCTCCTTCCCCTCGCCTCCCCCCTTCTCCTCCATTGCCGCTGCTTCCCTCGAGTTGGACTGGTGTGAGTCTGGCGCGCAGCCTAGTATTTGCCGGCTTGTCTGCTTCGCCCCCGAGTCCAGGGCCGCTGCGGGATTTTACTTTCATCGCCTCGCGGTCGTCACTTTTCGGTAGAGTTCCGCTGGGGATCGAGGGGCAGGATCGAGCGGTCTACGCGAAAAGAAGAATAATTACTTCGAGTCCACAGTCAATGCAGGAATCGTTATCGGTTTCTCATAGTTTTGGCCGGGGGCAGTTTTACCTTTTTCACGTGCCTGTTCACGCACCGCGGGATTTGTGCCCACGATTACAAGTGCCGGGTTTTTAGACGGAGAGTCCGCGGGACACTTGCTCCGTAGTCGAAGCGGTGCGGCGTGGCCGGACTGACGTGGGCGCGATCCAGTTGCCCGCCTCCCCCACAGCTTGCACAAGAGGCAAGCACATCCGCGCGGCCGCCTTGTTGAGTGGGCTGCTGATGCTCGCCGCGGTCCTGGGAGCCTGCGTCAGCATCGCCGTGCGCAGGCAGGTCGTGGGGGCCGCCGTTTGCTGCGGCAGCCCTAAGTTCGTCCTCGCCTCCTTCCACAGGACTGGGCAGCCGCTTGGCGTTTCCTGGACTTCGATGCGACGCTGGGCTACCCCAGGGAATGCCCCCCATTGCGAGGCACGCCGCTGGGAGGTGACCAACGGGCACGTGGGCGT